GGGGGGGGGGGGGGGGGCGCAACGTGGCGGGGGCATATCTCGCGAGACAAAATTCCCAAATATTCGGCATCGACCGCGATTCCCTCTCGACCGACCCGCACACAGCTAACAGCACACACACCCCTCGGACCCGCAAGCCCAAGCTCCGTCTCACGCGGAAAGCTAGCCATAAAATTAATTAATAATACTAACGCCGGCACAACACCACAAAGATCGCACGGGCGGGGACCTGTTCCTTTTTACCCATCTCACAGTAGAGGTGTCCGTTTTATTTATTTATTTACAACACCACTGACCACTCTCTCCATTGTGACCCATGGGCGGCGGCGTTCGGCGTCGGGAGCCGTCGCCGGCGCTTAACATCTTCCTTTTTCTTTTTCGCAGAGTCGAAGTGTTAGTGCCAGTGCGCGCCAGTCCCGTGCCTAGTGTCGTGCGAAGGACGCTGGTAAAATTCTTTTTCTACAACACCATACAGTTGAAGCACGCGGAACGCATCTCCATCGCGTCGGTGAAGGGGGTAAACCGTGCCATCCTCGATCGCCGTGCAAAGCTCGCTTCCGAGCTCTCACGCCGCGCGTAGGGCCCTTAGGGGCCTAGAGAACACAACCCCCCTCTCTCTTTTCTCCCAGTAAGCTAAAAGTACGTAGGATCCTACAAGCATGTGAATGCTTTCCGGCCGAGGTCGATGGGAGATAGCGCCACGACGACCTCCGCCGAGGTCGACGCCGTCGCTGCAGCCAACGCGACTGCAGCGCTGCTTCGTCAGCTGCGCGTACACGACGCCGCCGCCAGCCTCACCGCGCACGCTCACCCCGGTGCTCGCTTCTGCTCGAATGCCCATTGCCTGTGCGCAGCCGAGGTGACGGTTGGAGGGCACGTCATCAGCGTCGGGCATGGACGGCTCGACGACACGCTCGACGTCTGCAAGGTGACGGAGCGCATCCTCCGCACACCGTGCCGCTGCTGTGCGAGGGATCGTGCACTCGCTCGCCGTGTGGCAAAGGGCGAGGCGCGGGTCTGCTACACGTGCGGGTCGACGGGCCACCTCGTCCGTCAGTGCCCGCAGACGCGCTGCAACTTTTGCGGCGAGCGAGGCCATCTTGCGGCCGCATGCTCCTTTGGCGGTAGCACGGCGCGCGAGGACCAGTTCCTGCGCTGCGGCCCGGCCTGCTTTGTCCGCCGCTTTGTCGTCCCTCTCCACCGCGCGAGCCTCGACTTCGACCCGGACAGTAGCCTCCGCGACGGGCGGGCCGGCCTCGCCGCCGACGGCTCAGTGCCAGTGCCAATGTGTGCGCGTACTCACCACTGACGGAGTAGGCGGATCGACCTCGCCGCGCGGCTTGTCTCCTCGGCCCTCGTCTCGTCGCAGCGGCTGCGGCACAACACCGAGCTCTGCCTGCCCTTCCTCGGCATGGAGCGGCCCAGCTTCCTCTGCGTCACCGGCGGCCTCGCCCGCGGCATACACCCTTGCGAGGCAGAGACCGCGCACCGGCTGCGCGCCGCGATCGACTACCTGGCCGACGGCGAGCCGGCCCCACACGCGGCCCGCCCTCGCGAGCTGCGCGGCTTCCGGCTGGCCGAGGGGGGCTTCGAGGAGGCGCTGGAAGAGGCGCTGACCCTCGCGCGCGCGCCTCCCCGCCGCAGCCGCATCGCCGCGCCGCTGCTGCTGCTGCTGCAGGGCGCGCCCCCCTTCGCGGCGGTGCTGCAGCGCCTCGCGGAGGAGACAGGGGAGGCGGAGGAGGAGGAGTCTGGGGGCGAGGCTGCGAGCGCGGAGGGGCAGCGCGGCCCGCTGCGGCTCGACGATTGCGTCATTGTTTTGGGTGACGACCGCGGGCTGACCGGTGAGGAGGTTGAGGCTGCGTGGCGCATCGGCGCCACCGCGGGGGGAGGAGGGCGTGTGCTCGCCGCATCGCTTGGCGGCGGCGCTCTGCTGGCGAGCCACTGCATCGTGCTCTGCCACCACTACCTCGACGCGCTGCACGACTGCCCGCTGTCGCTGTGGGAGGAGCCATCCACAGAAGTGCAGCGCCTGAGCAAGCAGCGGCAGCGGCGGCGACGGGCCGGGCGGCGGGGCGTTGAAGCGGCGGCGGAGTCACCGGGCGATGGCGAGGGAGCGGCAGCGGGGAACTGCGCGTCGTCCTGAGAGAGGAAGAATAAGAATTGGAATTTGGTGTGTAAAAAAACAAACCGGAGAGATACTCTCTGTCTCTCTCTTGCGCTTTAGCGGATAGCGCACCGCATACTCCATACACCATATATAGACCATGAGGCATTTGACAATAAATAAACTCTCTGCAGGGACACAGCTCTCTCGGCGTCTGGGGAGTAAACCGCTTCGTTCGTGCCGCCGGGGTGTATACTCTGTACGGTGGCGCGTCTCGTGCGCGCACCGTGTGGGACAGGGATCCCGGATCGGAGACGAGACCACAGCCGGTCAGCTTCCAGCGCGCGATTTGAGAGACACATCGCCCGTCCGCGCGCTCTTAGTCCCTCGGACTCGAAGCCGTGTTGTCGGCGGCCTGCTGCTCGATGAAGGGCAGGAACTTGCCGTTGAATGTGATGACGACGCGCTTCTCGCCCGCCTTGCCGGTTGTCGTCCCGACATCGCCTTCGCGGCCGTGGGATGGCAGGAGTCACCGCCGGAGCTCCGACCAGGGGTTGGTGGCGCAGGCGAGGGAGTGCAGGCGAGGGCTGTGGGCGTGAACAGTGCAGGCGAGGGTGGGCACAGTAAAAGTCGATTGCCGACATGATGCCGTCGCCGCACTCCTCGTTGATGATCCGCTTGATCGCCTCGCCGTAGTGCGTGACCGCCTCGTACGTGCGGTAGACGTTTGGCTCCTGCAGGATCCTCTCGTCAAAGCCACGCATCGGAAAGTGCGCCATCATCGCTTGCACATCGTCGTCGCTGACAGAAGGCAGCGCCTTCTTGAGCTTGGGTGCCGTATTCGCCTTGAGCTGAGCCTGGCCGAGGAAGAGCTGGGCAGTGTAGGTGTTGGTCAGGCCGAGCTTCGTCGCAAGCTCGTCGAAGGAGAGTCCCGCCTCCTCCTTCGCAGCGATAAGACGGCTCGAGCGCTCGGCCACCTCGTCGAGCCTCACGTCGTAGTCCGAGCTGCTCGCCATCGGAGCCGAGGACCGCGCGCCGGCGGCGTATCGGTGCAGCGGGGTGGGCAGCAGACCCGTGGCGGTGGCGAGGACGGCAGCGAGCATATTGAACACCCGGGCTGGCGGCAGAGCCGTGGCGGGTGGCGGCGGCCGAGGCAGAGCGAGCCCGACTCTCTGCAGGGTTCCGGCTCCTAGGATTCCTACCCGGATAGGAATAGGGGGTCTGTTTTCCTCGCTGACACCCTATGCAATAGGTAGGTAGGTCCGGCTTTGACCGCCCCAGAGGGCCCTGCAACAGGTAGGTACCCCCTGTTTTCGTCTTTTTTCGCTTCGCTGCGCGGCCTGGCCCTGGCGCCTGGGGATAGATAGGTAGGTAGGGCGTTTGGCGCGAGTCGTGGTCAACAGACCCCCTATCCGGGTAGGAGCCGGAACCCAGGTGTGGGGCAAAGTAGTATTATTTCTTTTTCAGTGAATGTAGCTCTGACGAACATACCCGAGGGTGAACTGCTGAGGCAACCCTGTCTGCACGTCTCGCGCGCGCGTGAACAGGGCTCCAGGCCCCAAATGACGTGTGAGTGTTAGATTTGTTTGGTATTGCTAAAAATCTCTCTCAGGGTTTGCGATGAGGAGCGATCCGAACGTGGTATTCGGGTGATCAGAGCACTATTAGTAGGTAGGTAGGTAGAAAGGTGAAGAACAGCCAGGCTCGGACTGGACACCAACGCGGTATGGGTGGACGCTGGACAGATGATGACGACACGCACTATTAAGAGGAAAGAAAAGAAATGCGAATGCTGGCGCCTTCCCTGCCCCAAGTGCGACCTGGCCACCTTTCCTTTCCCCAACCATGATGCTCCCGCTGATGCTCGCCATCGCCGGCGCGCCCGAGCTGAAGGAGAGCGTCGGCTGCGGCACCGGCATGTACGTCTACAACCCGGGTTGCGGCATGGAATCGCCGGTCGAGGGCATCTTCGGCGACCCGCAGGCGGGCTGCGAGCAGTGCATGCGCATCCTGGTGAAGGAAGGCAACTTCGAGGGCTGCGAGGAGAAGGTGACGTGCGAGCAGGAAGGAGGCGGCTTCCTCTTCGGCGGCGGCAGCAAGGTCATCTTCATGAAGGCGCTGGCTGCGCCGTCGCCGCCGCCGCTGCCGCCCACGCCGCCGACGATGCCTCCGCCCGAGGAGGATCTGTGGGACGAGTACTGCCCTGACGACATGGAGAAGGATGAGTGCAAGCAGAAAGCAGCCATCGCAGGCGGCGCCGCCACCGTCTGTGTCCTCGCGATTGTTGTTGTTGGCGCCTCCAAGAAAGGCGGATCTGTGCCGCAGCTCTGAGAGCGGCAAAGGCGCCGGTCTCGCCTCCTCTCTGGTATAAGCCACCGCGCGGATGCGCGGCCGGGAACGGGAGTCTACGCTGTGGCTGACTTCCACTCTCTGGGCTCCCGACTTCCAATAGAAGGGAGAGAAAGCGCGGAGCGCGGAGGAGCGAGAAAAAGAGATGCGGGGGGACGGCGACATGGAGTGCGAGTAGGAGGTGGCTTCGAGAGGTGGCTCCTGGCAGGTGCTCGGTTTCAGGTTGTGTCATGTGTGCCGTAGGAGGTCTCATCAGGTCGAGGCAGAGTGTCAGCAATTTTTGGTGACACTAAATTAATTAATAAAGCGGAGGCGCGCGGTTTAGGCTTTAGCGCGTGCGGTGGAGGATGTCGGACATGGGTGTTCAGTGTTCTGCGGTGTTGTCGCCTACCCCTTGCCGTGCCGCCATGCGCGGTCGAGATCGGTGCTCGCGGCGGCCGCCCCTCGGTGCACGCACATCTCCATCCGCCGCCAGAGATCTGCCGTCGGGTCCCACCGAGCCTCGTCGTACCCGAGCAGCGGGGAGTTGACGTCGCGCATGTTCGCCGACTCGGCAAAGGCCGCCGCCTCGGGCGCGCACGCGGCCAGCCGCGACGCGAGGCCGTACACGTACACCTGGCAGACCCGCACCTCGTCGATGCCCATCTCGGACGCCGAGGCGGCGAGGGCGGGCTTGCGGCGGCCGAGCCAGCTGGTCCTGCTCAGAAACGTGTCCTGCAGCTTCTGCCGCAGCGGCTCGACCTCCGCCGTCGCTCGCTGCCACTCGCCCTCGGCCTGCTGCCGCGCGCCCGCCGCCTCGACGTGGTCGAGCGTCTTGTCCGGCTGGACACCGACCGCCTCGCCGCACGCGAGGACGCAGCGCGCCATCGGCTCAAAGCCGGCGAGGCCGACCGCGACGGCGGTGTGCGCCGCCGTGAGCTGGCTCGGCAGCTGCTCCGCCGCCTCGGCGCGCCACTCACTGTACTCGGCACGGCACAGGTGCGATCCCATGCACGTCACCCACCAAGTGCGCGCCGCGAGGCGGCCGTCCTCGTCGCTGGCGCGCGCCAGCGCCTCGAGTGTGTTGCGGCACGACGCAAAGGCGGAGCGATACGCTCCACCGTCTGCGTCCTGCGCCATGTACACGCCAGCAACAGCCCTGGGCCGGCGGAAAAAGAAAAAAGAAACCCAAAAAAATATTTTTTGCGCACGACTCTAGTGCGTGTACCCAAAGTCCCTCAGGGCGGCCGGGTCCTGCCTCCAGTCCTTGCGCACCTTCACCGAGGTTTGCAGGTAGACCTGCTTGCAGAAGAAGGCCTCCATCTCCTTGCGCGCCTTTGAGCCGACCGCCTTGAGCGCGGCGCCCTTGCGGCCGATGACGATGCCCTGTTGCGTCTCGTGCGAGACAAAGATGGTCGCCTTGACCCGGATGATCTCGTCGAGCTCCTTGAAGGCGGTGATTGCAACCTCGCACGAGTATGGCACCTCCTGCCGGTAGCCGGTGAAGATGGCCTCGCGCAGCATCTCGGCGGCGAAGAAGCGCTCGGGCCGGTCCGTGAGCTGGTCCTTCGGGAAGAAAGGCTCGTGCAGAGGCAGGCAGGCGCGCACGCGGGCGAGCAGCGCCTCGGTCCCCTCGCCCGTCTCCGCGCTCACCGGAAGCACGCTCGCCTGCAAAGAAGCGGCCGGTGGGCAGGGCGGGCTGGGCGAAAAGGGGGCGGAGAGGGGCTCCGGCGGCGCCTGCGGGAAGCGCTGCTGCCAGCTGTCGAGCAGCTCCTGCTCTGTGCCGAGCCGGCGGAGCGTCTCTTGCGGCAGCGGCGAGCCGTCGCGCAGCAGGTCGACCTGGCGGGGTGGGGAGGCGGCGTGCGGCGCCGACGGACAGATAGCGCGCGGCGCGGCGCGGAGAGTGAGGAGGTCGCGTAGGCCGTGTGGCGGTGGCGGTGGCGGTGGCGGTGGCGGAGGCGGCGACACCTTGTTGAGCAGGACGATGAGCGGGCACGCCTGTGCCTCCACCTGCCTGAGGATGGCCTCGTCCTCCCAGCCCTGCTGGAAGACGTCCAGCACGAGCAGCACCAGGTCGGCGTCGTTGAGTGAGCCGCGCACCTACAGGCGGAGGCGGAAGGAGGCCGGCGGTGGCGGTGTTGCGGTGGAGAGGCTGGGCGCAGAGCGAGAGAGAGAGAAGCGCGCGCCGCGGCCATCATTCCCTCTTGCAGCTTATACTGCGGCTCGGAGTAAATGCCGGGCGTATCCGAATAGATGAGCTGATAGTCATCTCCGTTGAGGATGCCGAGGATGCGGTGGCGCGTCGTGCCCGCCTTTGGCGTCATGATGGCGAGCCGCTCGCCGACCAGCCGGTTCATCAGTGTCGACTTGCCCACGTTTGGCATGCCGATGATGGAGACGAAGCCGGCGCGATGCGGTGCGGGCTCGGCGCTGTCCTCCACGGCCGCGCGAACAGGCTGCAGCCGCGGCGCGACATGGCCGCGCCACGCGGCCGGGCAGGTGGTGACGCCGGCTAGCAGCGGAGAGAGGAACAGAAAGGGCGTCATCTGTTCGGGCTGCGGCGCGAAATCGCGATTTCTTCCTGGCGTCTTCGTTGATCAGCGTCTTCGTTGATCAGCGTCGAGGCGGCGTTGCCTCGCTGGAAGAATTCAATGGAAGAATTCAACTTCGGTTCTCCTGGCGTCCCGTCCTCCCATCCCTCCCTTGGGGTGTCTGTTTTCTTTCTTTCTTTTTTCTCCTTGCTTCTTTTTCCGATATTCTTTGGGTCTTTTGCGTTGTCTTTGGCCACAAGGTAGCTCTGCCGCCGACAGGCCGACTACCCCCCCCCGCCTAGCATGTGCGGTTTTTCTGAGAATGAGGAATGTCACGCCACATGCGTCTCAGACGCCTCTGAATGAACGCAACCGAGAGCCGCAGCGATCATAAACGGCAGAACGCCGCGCCGGGCGCGCAATCCCGCAAATAAGGCCGAAGCGGCTTTCCTGCGCGCTGCGGCGCGGTCGGAGTTTCGGTGGCCCCGGATTTCCTGTCAGGTTCACGCGCGCGCCCCCATCACGAGATAGTGGCAGCTAGAGGGTCGATGAGGCGAACGCCCTCGGCGCGAGGCGGCGGCACCTAGGATGAGGGGCGGGCGTCGGCGGGCAAAAACGGGGAGGCAGGGGCTTGGAGGCTCGCCCAGGAGGGGGGCGGAGTCACCGCGTATCCGAGCTGCTCCATGCCCTGGATGGCGACGTCGAGCACAAGGCTCACCGAGCCAAAGGACTGCACGCGCGTCACCTGGTCGATAGGATACGGTGGTGGAGAAGAGAGCGGGCCGGGGCGAACAGATGCAGGGACTGGTCGCCTCTCGCCCCTCGCCCTTTGCAGGGAAGAGCGACTCGATGAACTCGGGCCGCATCCCGTTGAGCCACGACTGCAGCCGGCCGAGCAGCGAGGAAGCGAGCGGCCGGAACGTGCGCACAGTCACGCGGTGGCGGCCGGGCGTGAGAGGCAGGTGCACTGCTCCGTACCTTGGCGGGAGCACGTGGCGTAAGCGTTGGGGCGCGAGAGGTGGCTGGGGCGACAGGGCGGCCGAGAGCTCACCCCAGGATCATATCCGGACGTCCAAAGTAGTCCTCGCCGTAGACGGAGAGGACAAGCTGCGGCCTGTCAGAGGGCGAGACCCGCGTGTTGGCCCCCCTTGGCCAAGGTTTGGTGAGCCGCGGGTGTGTCTCTCTATCTGTGTGCGTTACCATCCGTGTGGGCACGTCGAGCGAAAGGTGGCGTCGATGGGGAAGTTCCACACCTGGTGCAGGGGCGGGAAGGTATGGCCACACTCGCTCCAAGGCGGTGCGTAGACTGGGCCGGGCTGCGTCTGTGCGCACCACCGACCCGTTTGCAGTCGAGCCAGAGGAGGAGGCCATCTGCGTGATGCCTTCCTCCACGCCGCACATGACGGACCTGAGGGAGAAGGATGGCGGTCCGGTGAGCGTGTGTTGTTGCCTGACTGGTGACAGAACGGGTCGTGTGGCACCAGTCCTCGCCGCACGAAAAGACGTAGCGGCAGTAGAGTGAGGAGTTGCCCTCGAAACGACCCGACTCGATCTGCCCCGTCGCCATCACATTGAAATACCTTTGCTGGCCCGCGGACGGCGCTGCCATGGTCGGGTTGCACAGGGCGTGGGCGATGGCGGAGGGGTCGTTCAACCACCAACCACGCAACGCCGGGCCTCGTGCGTCCGTAACGGCGCGCCTTCATTCCGTTTACGTGGCTCTTACGTACATTCCCGTAGGAGGACTCTGCTGACAGGGTTTGCGATGAGGAGCGACCCGAAGGGTTTCTCGGAGGTTAGTGCACCACTAACCGCCGAAGCGCAATTCCCACACGCATTCCGAATTGCATGGGGTCCGCCATCGAGAGGTCTCCGTCCGCCAAGCCGCACGCATCGACGCGGGCTCGCTTGTAGGCCGTGGTGAGACCGCGAGAGGTGGCCGAGGGCTAGCCGAGAGGGAGCCGAGAGGGAGCCGAGAGGAGCCGAGAGGGAGCCGAGAGGCAGCCGAGAGGAGCCGAGAGGAGCCGAGAGGGAGCCGAGAGGGAGCCGAGAGGTAGCCAAGGGGTAGCCGAGAGGCAGCCGAGAGGGAGCCGCGAGGTACTAAGCACCAGCCTCGTTGTAGAGGTAAAAGTAGAGGCCGGTCGAGACGGTGTACTTGAGGATGTACGACGCCTACCGCACCCCCATAGTACCGAATCCAGTGTGGGTTCAGTCCCGTGGGTGGTGTGGTATTGAGCATGTGGGCCGCCTGCGCATCGCCGCCCCCCGCTTCATCTCGGGCCAATCTCGGGCCAATCTCGGGCCAATCTCGGGGGGCCAATCTCGGGCCAATCTCGGGCCAATCTCGGGTGCAGGGTCTCTGGCACGCGCCGGCTTGCTTGATTGACCGCCGTCGCGGCGCTGTGCACAGCCTGGCGGGAGAGGCACTTTACAGGCGCCGCGGTAACAAAGTCGCGTTTCTCTTTTTTTGCGAGACTGTTTTAGCTATTGGAAGAAAAGGTTGTCTCTCGCGCGGGGAAGGTGCCAGCAAGCGAGCGATAAGAATTAAAGAAATAACCGAATCTTCCTCTGGTTGATCGATGCGCTCGCACTCGATGCGCTTGATCGTGCTCCTCGCGGCGACCTCGCCCGCTGTCTCGGTGCTGGCGCCCACCAAATCAGCCTGTGACGTTCTGCGTTCGCAACTTCGCGGCCGCGAGACTGCCAGCTGCGCGCTCGGCGCCACTCAGGTTAGCGTCCGGGTCCTCGATATCGTCAGCCCGCTGCAGGTTCCTCACGGCAAGAAGGTGCCTTGCCTGACACTGACCAACATCCACGTCGAGCGAGCGGCAAGGCGCAAGGGTCACGCTAGAAAAACTTTGCACGCTTTGCGCACGGTCGCTGCTGGCTCAGGGCGTGCGTTGCTTGTCGAGAACGTCGTCTCTCAGAAGATGCACGCCCTCGTGAGAGATCTCGGCGGTCAGCCCCTCTTTGGTGCGCTGGGACGCCATCACTCAGTTTCCCACTCTTAATAGACCACACGAGAGCCGACACGCCCCTCTACCTTGTAGGCTGCAGAGCCGGCGCCAAGGGCTGCACGTACTGGCTCCCTGACGAGTCGAGACGGACTTGGAAAGAGATGACAGTCGAGCGGTAGAGGCAGCGGCATCGGTGAGGTACGAAGGGCGTGTGCTGCTGCCAGCTGGAGCTGGACGAGGCTGGAGCGCCCTGCGAGTAGAGTACAGTCGAGTCTATGTAGCGGGAAAGGATAAGGAACCGCAGCACGGGGACCTTTTTTTGTGTGGGTCGTGAAAAAAAAAGTAATATATCTTTACTTCCAAAACCCGGACGTGCCTCTGTGTGGGTCGTGAAATAACTGATTTGCGGTGTATTACCCGGTCAGCCCGAGAGCAGAGTAGGGCGCTTACTCCGCTGCGCAAGGACAAGCACACGTAAGCACGGGCGGGAGGGGCTTCTCCTGCGTGGAGTCGTCGGTCGTGCATGCGCAGGTGGGGCTCTCCTCTTTGCTTTCTTCTACTCCCTACTATCATCTCGTTCCCCTCCTACCAGGGAGCAATCGAAACCGCGAAGACGGCCACCGGGGCCGCTATCATACTCTGCCCCACAACCCACGTCGCGAGGAGGACGGGTCTTCGTTCCCGACGGAAGGGTGTCAGCCAGCTATACAGCAAGCAGATCCCGACGGAAGCGAGCGCGATGAAGGCGGCGCACGCCTTGTTTATGTAGGTGTAGGCCAAGACCAGCCGCTCCCTGTCTCCCTTGGAATCGTCGAACTTGGTGGGGGATGTAGACATGCTGAAGTCCGCCAGGTGCTGAGGGAGGGTGAGGGAGCTGGCCAGGACGTGGAGCAGGGCACCGGACACGTAGAGGCTCGTCATCCACGACAGGGCCTCCCAGCGCAGCTCGCCTACCACAATCACGTGGCTTAAGTGCTCACCGAGTCCATCAGCAAACCACGAGCTTCCTCCCAGCAGCCCAGCTCACTCCAGCGCCGGACGATGGTGCGGCGCCGCTCCCGCCGGTGCGCCTCGGAATGCTCGGCGCCCAGCGCATCCAGCTGTAGCAGACGCCACTGCACCTGCGGTCCCCAGTTGCTTGATGTGGCCGCGTACATCTGCGCGTGAACTCTGACTCCGCTAACGTTTACACGAGGCCGGGGGGGGGTGCGAGGTGGACTAATGCGATCACTAATCCGTGATGAGAGCCACTCAGCCACTCACCAAGAGTCGAAGGGCGGCGACCGACTTTGCGCGCATCAAGTAGTTGATCATTCGTTGTGGCAGAAGGGTTTTGAGCCAATAGGTGTTGTCGGCGGCGGCGTTGTCCTATTCGAGGCCCGGCTTGTGACAGGGCGAGATTGGTGGGGGGATTCGAACCTCGAGAACGAGGCGCCACGGTCGCAGGCATGATTTCTGGGTGCCTCAGCAGTGATGGCATCACCCGAGCGATCCTCACCGCCTGGGGTGAGATCAGCCGAGATCAGCCGAGATCAGTCGAGATTAGCCGAGGTTAGCCGAGATCAGGAGTCGGTGTTGCCTGCTCGCGGCCTTCGTTGCCAGGCACCACGAGTCTGCTGCCCGGGAAGAGCGGCGGCGCGGACAGTAGCACCATGAAGTACCTCAAGGCGTACAGCACCTGCTCCATGAAGGCAGCCCCCTTTACCTGCGGTTGCGCGCGAGGCGTGTGCGTTGGCCCGTGCGGCAAAGGGCGGAGAAGAGGAGGGGGAGGCTGAAGGCACTGGCTGGCCGCTCGCCCGCGAGGTGCCAGCGAGGAGAGAGGCGAGCTTGAACGGCGCGAAGACTATGAGATTCTCCACGATGTGCGCGTCCGTGAGCACTGCCTCCCTGAAGAAGTGCGAGGTCCCAAGGCAGAGGACGAAGTCCCTCGGCGACAAAGCCGCCGTGACGAGCGCGTGGTGTATGTACGCGTCCTCGCATCCATTGAACGCGAGGTGAAAGTCATGGGCGCGCCGCGCAGCGGCGTCGACAGCGTCGCGCGCGCTGTCTTGAGAGGTCTGCCGAGCTTTTGTGCGACCCATATGTGTGTGATGTTCTCGGAGGACGGCTGAGGCATAACGCCGATGAGAGAGAGACGCCGAGATTGAAAGAGTGAGAAACTGAGCCGGCTTGCTGGACGTTGTGACATTTGGCGATTCCGCGGCTTGTGCTGCTACTGGGCCCCTGAGCCGCTCCCCGTGTGCGATTCTTGTGGCCCCAACCAAGTAAACGGGTCAGAACCGGCCAAACACAGGCTACAGCCCCACACACACGCCACACACGCGCCCGCCATAGCTCCTGGAGAGCACGCGCGAGTGATGCGCTGCAAGCCGCGAGAGTGGCATATACGCATAGATCAGAGGCAGGAACGACCTGCTCGTCCTTGTGCTCCTCACACGAGGCCCGAGGGCCGAGGTCGCAGGTGGCGCACAGCCTGGCAGGTCCGGGCTCCGGCGTCCGCGCGCCGAGGCTCCCCGAGGCCGCCCTCCAGGGCTGGACCTAGTCCGTTATTAGTCGACAAGGAAGTGGGTTGCTATTACGAAAGCCGTACACCATACATCTTGGCCTTTACACGCTTTTCTCTGCAAAGGCTATCTATATTCTTTGCATCATATTCTCTCTGGGCCCTCTATATTCTCGAGAATATTCTCGAATATTGAGAATATTTTGACCTCGCGTATATCGACGGAGACCAAAAGTCGCTCCCAAACCCGCTCAGAACCTCCAAAACTTAAAGATTTCAGTCGGCATCGACCCGAAACCTACTGTTGAGGGGGGAATAGCTGTTTCGAGCTCTCTCGTCAAGACCGTTTTAGACGCCGCACAGCGGCAACGTCAAGAATATTCAAGAATATCTTTGGACTCAAGGTCCACCAAGGTCAAGGGCTGCGGAAAGCTCGTATATTCTTGAGGGAAAAGCCGGCCGGGGCATCTATATTCTCGAGAATATTCTCGAATATGGAAGTGCGCGGGACCCTCTATATTCTCAAACAAAGATATTTGAGAATATGGTGTAAAGGCCAACATACATCCCTGCGAGAGACCGCCACTTCCACTCGCCACTCCATCCACCCCAAACCCCACAAACCGTGTTCCTGTATCAATTCACTGCATACGCCTCCCCCCCCCCCCCCCCCCCAAGTAGCATGCTGTTTTCTGTGTTGGCCGCCGCTGACGCCCAAATCCTATCTCCGGGTCTCGTTCGGTGATGAGCAGAGGCCGTTCCCACGGGGCTGCCTTCCCAGCTGGCCACACCTTCCTAGGAACAGGAACCCTGCCCTGTCTGCTATAGCCGCAGCCACTCCCAGCTACTCGGTGTGATATGCACATGATTTAGATTCGATCGACGATTCGAGTTTGAGACACGTTCGAGACACTTGAGACCACTTTGAGACACCTTCGCGCTAGCTGCTCAGTTCGCTGCACGTCTCGTCGCGCTTGGCGGCGCGAGCGGCGGAGTGAGAGGCGCCTGTGCACGCGGCCGAGAGGCGCTGTCGTCATGCAGGAGCCGGCGCGTCGAGCAGGGCCAGCACCGGCAGCGCGGCCGTCGACAAGGTAGCGACAAGGAAGAGAGCGGCGCTTTCGGCACAGGGCTGGCGAAGAGAAAAGACGCCGGCGGCGGGCGGAGGCGATCAAGGCGCGACGAGGGCCAGGTCACGGCGACCTCGCACGGGCCGGCGCGGCGAGAGGACCTGGCTGGGGCACGGCGATAGGTGGTCGGCGAGCGTTGAGCACTCTGTGGCCAGACTCAGATGCTTACAAGACGGTGTCGGGTGAGGGAGAGGGCTGGCTCACCGTGGGTAGGGTTGCCGTGCGTGTGGTAACACTGTTTGAAATTGGGTGATGTTCATCTTCACAGCAGTGCCTGAAATGAGTTCTTTTTGCGGGTCTCAGAGCGTCTTGCGAAAGCTGAGGAAGAAATAAAACCACCGGCGAGAATGAACAGAGTTCGTACCGAGCAGCAGGGAGCTCCGCAAGACCGAGGCCCCTCGGTGTTCACAGCGTGAAGAGACGCCATCTCGTGTGCACACGCCGATGGGCAAGTCAGCTCGTGCTCTCACCGCCGCCGACCACAAAGGCATCCCGCTGCTGGCGGCCCTCGACGAGCAGCTCGTCGCCGCCCTCAACTCGGGCGCCATCAAGCTGCTCCGCGCCGAGTTTCTGCGCGCCGACGGCTCCGAAACGGTGCTGCCCGAGCTCCTCCGCCGGCAAGAGCTGGAGCGGATGGAGGCGGAGCGGGGCATTCAAATCTTCCTCACACCAGACGAGGCTGTCGCGGCGCTGCGCTCGCTCAGCCGCGAAGTCGCCGGGCTGACTTACGGCTGGGGCTCGCCGGACCACCCCGACGTGACCGGAGAGTATCTGGCCAACGTGCGGCGCTTCCTGCGCCACCCGCTCGGCGAGCACGTGACGGCCCTCTTCTGGGAGTGCGCCCGCCGCCCAAAGCCCGCCCCAGACCGCAGTGGTTGCACGCGTGCGAGGGCAGGCCTTCCCTCTGCGCCTATCCCTCACTTGACACTCCTCTCACGCTCTGCCGCCCCCGCCCCCCGTGTGCCCCTCCCCTCCGCAGCTTCTCCTCCCTCCCGCAAAAGCCAAGGACAGCGGCAGAGGACGAGTTCTTCTCCCTGGCGCTCATGGTCCGCCCCCCCCGCCTCCTCTCCGCCGCCCTCTGCGCCCGCCGCTCTTCTACTCCCCACTCCCTCGCCCACACATGCCCGTGCTTCTCCTAAGGCCTCCCTTCTTCTCGCCCCTCCCCAGGTCATGGGCGACGTCTACGCCTCTGCCCTCGGCACGATCGTCATCCGCCACCTCTCCGTGCCAGCCCGGCCGGCGGAGCTGGACGGCGAGGTGGTCATCCTCGTCGAGAAGGGCGGCGGGCTCGACGGCGCCGGCGCCGAGGCCGAGCTGCGCAGTGCTCTCGGGGCGTTTGAGAACCCGCGCTACGAGGAGGGCCGGTGGCGCGTGCGCTTCCCAACGCACGCGGCGGCGGAGGAGGCGGTCAAGGCAGCCGCTGCAGCGGGTGCGCTGCCGGGCGCGATCGCCGTCTTCCTCTTCTACAACGGCCGCCCTTACCTCGCTCGCGGGTGCGGACGCCCCCCCCCCCTCCCTCCTCCCTACAGTTTCTACCCTTCCCTTCCACCGCCGCCGCCGCGATGCGGCGTGCGAGAGTCCCCAACCCCACCACCACAGCTCTACTCTTCCGCTACCCCCGCGGATGACGATCGTGCCGAGGGCGGAGGCGTAGACGTCGCCCATGACCTGAGGCTCTCCTCATGGT